TAATTTTTTTGAGATAGATAGAGCTTTATTTGGGTGGTATTTAATCACCTCTGGGTTTTTTATTTTTGCTAAACAAACCAAAAACAACTGAAAATTTTGAAAAAAAAACATTTTTTCTTAGTTTCTGTTATAAAATTTTGTAAATAAGTGATTTTTCTCCTTCACTGATGTGCGCTAATGAGGCTGCACTGATGAGCACTGATGGGCACTGATGAGGAGGCACTGGTAGGTGGCACTGATGGGCATTGACAGGCATCACTGATGGGCACTGAAGGCAGCACTCATATATGGCACTGATAGGTGGCACTGACTGGCACTGTTAGGCGGCACTGATTCACACTGATAGGCGGCACTGACTGGCACTGATATGTGGCACTGACTGGCACTGATAGGCGGCACTAATTGGCAGTACTGATAGGCAGCACTGACTGATACGTGGCACTGAAAGGCAGCTCATATGGGCACTGATATGTGGCATTGTTGTGACACTGACAGGTGGCATTAATAGGCACTGACAGGTGGCATTGCTGGACACTGACAGGTGGCACTGATGGGGCTACACTGATTATCAGGGCATACTGAACTCTCAGGAGTCCCTCCTTATATCAGAATCTCTTTTTACATCAGTGTCCCTTCTAATATCAGGATCTCCTTTTACATCCGAGTCCTTCCTTATATCAGAATCTACTGTTACATCAGAGTCCCCTCTTAGATTGAAGTGATCAGAGTCCTTACATCAGAGTCCTTTCGTACATGGGAGTCCTACCCTTAGATCATAATCTCTCTTCAGATCAGAATTCTATCTTAGATCAGTCCCCTCTTACATTGGAGTCCCTTGTAGATCACAATTCCCCTATAAATCGGAAGTCCCCCCAACTTTTCCCCCGGGATCAAAATTCCCCTAAGTTTCTCTTATATCAGTCCGCTATTAAATCAGAGTCCCTACTTAGATCAGAATCCTCCCTTAGATCAGAGTCCCCCCTTAGATCAGAGCCCCCCCTTTTAGGTTTCAGGGTTTCTTTACAGTTTTGCCTTTCCTTTGTCCAATCTCCTGAAGGCAGCAGCATAACCCTATGTTCCTGAATATTTCTCTTGTGCCCTGTAATGTACTCTAAGCAAGGGATGTTCCAGGGAAGAATAAAATTATATTCTTTGTCTTGCCTAAGTGAAATAACACACATACCATGAAGCTTGTTTAACAGAAACAAATTAAAAAAAAAAAGTGTAGACACTTGTAGCACCCAAACAAGCACACCTACATACATACAGACATCATATACTTTTTGTTTATAATGTAATATATATATATATATATATATATATATATATACATACAAAAGGATCACCCCCTTTAAAATAAGCACACGGTGTTGCTTTACAGCCTGAAATGTACATTTTTTGTTTTATCCAGCTGTATTCACTCAGTGCAACTTATACCATCCAAGTGAAAGATATAACACTAACATGATAGAAAAAAATATAAAAAACAGAATCACTGAGTTGGAAAAGGCATCACCTCCTCCTCAAAATGACTTATAAACTCAATCAGGTGTAGCTTATAACCTTCTCAATGGCACACAAAGCCGTTTGGCTTTCAATTATGATCAGCTGTGGTCATTTTGATTAGCTCAGTATGAAAAGAGCTTTCCTGGAGCATTTCAGTTCCTGCTAGTGCAACGTGAAGCAAACAAGCAACTATGGGTGGCAAGGCACTGTCAAAAGATCTCCGGGATAAAGTTGTGGACAGGCACAAGTCAGGAGATGGATACAAAAAAATTCAAAGGCTTTATCAATGCCTAGAAGCACAGTGAAGTCTATTATTAAGAAGTGGAAAGTATTTAGTACACAGCCCCTCCCTGATTCGGGACATCGCTCCAAACTGGATGAAAGAGCCAGGAGGAAACTGGTCAGAGAGGCTACCAAGAGACCTACAGCAACTCTGGAGCAGTTTCAGGAATTTATGACAAAGAGTGGTCATTGTGTGCATGTGACAACAATATCACAAATTCTCCACAAATGTGGGTTGTATGGGAGGGTTGCAAGAAAAAAAACCGCTCCTCCAGAAAGGCCACATGCAGTCACCAATGAGCTTTGCCAAACCGCACTTTGAAGATTCTGAGGCCACATGGAAAAAGGTGTAATGGTCAGATGAGACTAAAATTGATCTATTTGGCCTGGACACCAAACAGAAATCCAATACAACTCACCATCATAACACAATTCCTACAGTAAAGCATGGAGGTGGTAATATCCTGCTATGGGGGGGGGGGGGGGGTGTTTCTCTGCTGCAGGGACTGGAGCACTTGTCAGGATAGAAGGAAAAATGGATGGGGCAAAATACCATCAAATTCTTGAGGAAAATCTGCTGTCAGAAAGTTGTCAATAGGAAGAAGGTTTACCTTCCAACATGACAATAGCCTAAAGCACACAGCAACAATGACCATAGAGTGGTTGAAGGAGAAAAAGGTCCACAAACAGTCACCATCAAATGTAATTGAATTTGAGCAGTTCTGCAAAGAAGAGTGGGCACATATTTCAAAGTCTAGATGTGCAAAGTTAATAGAGGTATATCCCAACAGACTAAAGACTGTAATTAAAGCAAAAGGTGGACCAACAAAATATTTGATTTGATATTTTGTTGGTGTTATATCTTTCAATTGGATTTTATGAGTAAATACAGCTGGATGAAACAAAAACCGTGTCTGTCTTCATTTCACGTGGCAAAGCAACAAAATGTGATTATTATGTATCATTTAAAAAAGGGTGATTCTTTTCTATACCCAATATATATATATATATATATATATACATACTGTATATACTGTATATATTGATCTTGGAAAGGAAAAGTTATCTATCTTCTGTTCACAACAAATATTAAATAAATATAACAGAAAAAACAAGTTCAAGGTAATACCTGACATGTCTCAGGTGAGAAAATGTGCACTTGGCAACAGTCTGTTCTTAGAGTTTGATGTCCCTGGAATCTGAAGGCCAGCATTTTACTATTTAAGGAGCAAGGTTAGACAAATGTTCGAGTCTGTCACCATGATGCTCAGAATCCTTGCTGTTTTCCTGGCAGGTACGATTTACTCTACTTAAAAAATAAAATGATCAAACTTTGCATTAGTAAGCTATATAAGTAAAATATATTGCACAGTTACAATGGCACAACCCTTGAGGGTTAGGGACTGATGAAAATGTACAATATATATTTATGTAAAGCGCTGCGTAAATTGATGGCGCTATATAAGTACCTGAAATAAATAAATAAACATTTTTACATAAGCAGTTCTTTTCATAACCTTACCTGAAGTGCCTTCACCCCCTAGAGCAAGCCAGGTTCCCTTTGTATTGAAACGTTTGCCAGCCTTTCTTCATGCCCACAGGTTTGCTGTCCACCTAGAGCCACTTGTCATCAGGCTTCAATTCACATTCTGACTTTTCATTTTAAAGACAAATGGCTTCCTCTTTATGATTCCTGCTGGAGTTTGGGAGCTTATGGTTGAAAATGACAGCTGTTTTGGCCCTATGGCTGTCAAAATACACTAACTGTGACTAATCAGATGCAGCCACCTTTTGGGCTAACAATTTTCCACTGTAGATCCTTCAATTTTTCAATCAAGCGATGTTGGGTGGCAAGAGGCAGACAGGGCCACCCACTGAGTGAATTTTTACCAGTTCCTTAGAAAAGGAAAGTATGGCCAGCTTCACTATCCTGCTGATCCAGTGCCAAGCCAAAGCTGTACCCTGTGGGACTAAGGCCACCTTGCTCAAGTTCCTGAAAACAACAAATATGCCCAAAGCATCTTCCAAAGAAGACCACTGAAGGTAGAAGTGGTACATTAGTGGTTATAGTGGCTGAACTAGTGTCTGCTTGATAACTTACAGCTCTTGGCTTATCTGTGTTTTAAAATGATCCTGTTGGAATGATTTTAGCTTTATTTTTTGGTTTTTGATATGATAGAAACTGTGTGCTCATTTGTCAGATTTCTCTAATTTCCGGTCCTGGTCATGGGGGCAGAAAGTGTGGCAAATCCCCTCAACATAGATACAAATAATATGTTTTATAGAGTAGAGAAGGTTTAAAGTGTTACTAAACCCAGGACCCTGCATTCACTATATCTGGTCTCCCACAGTACACAGAACATGGAAATACAATTATTTTAGTAAATATAAACTGCTAAATACCTTTTCTCATCAGTAGTTAGAGCAGTTTTGCGACTTCAGCTGAGCACTGGTTAAAGCTTGTAGGAGGAGTTTTCTTTCTGCTCCAGGAGGATGCAGAACCCCTGACCTCTGTCTGGACAGTGCTGATTGGTCTTGTGCTGATCACATGCACTCTCACAAGAAAAAAAAAAAACCTCTCTAGCAGTACTCACCAAGCTGAGCATATGCAGAGTGTCTCCACACAATATTTCTTATCAGAGAGGGGGCACTGGAAGAAGGTGAGGATCAGAGAAGTCAGGATCAAACAGCGTTTTTACCTAATGCAGAGGATTAACCTCTTAGGTTCTACATTGAGTATATCAAGCTTGCTTTACTGCATATACAGACTGATTTTACTTTTGTGAGGTTAAGTAACACCTTAAGACCTATTTCTGTTTTTTGCTATGCCCCCACCTCCCTTCATTTTCTTTCCAGGTGTGTCCAGGACAAGAAATGTCCAAATGGAAGCCCATATTTATGCATGTCTTAACATTAATACCAATAAAAATGTATGACGTACGCTGAGGGAAAATGGTACAAAAGAACATTACATATGCAAAAAAAGTAAAAATCATTCTGCAGGAAACAAAATTTTATCTGCTAGGAATATCAATACAAAATCAACAGCTGCTGACATACTGTTGTCCATTAGATGGCACTACACTACCATATGCAGGACTGCATATGATAAAAGAACTATAGAATTCAACAAAAATATTTTGTGACATAATTGTGTTTATTGATGTATTCATTTTTGTGTTTTAGTCTCCTGTGCCTGTGCCTCGCCTTACAATAGGGCACTGTGGCAGTTTCATAGTTTGATTAAATGTGCCATCCCCAACAGTGCACCTCTTGCAGAATTTAACAACTATGGATGCTACTGTGGACTAGGAGGAAGTGGAACCCCTAAAGACACATTGGACAGGTAAACTCATGCTAAAAGTAACATTAAAAATCTATACAAGTATGTACTCTTAAGTAAAAAAACAAAAAAACCTTCAATTGCCCTCAACATTCATAAATTCCTTTTTTATTCTGCAGTGATCTGACTTCCTGATAGTGGGTTGGTACTTTTATTCTTCATGGTCCTACTTTATGTAGGAATGGAGCCTCTTGTTTGTTCCCAGTTGAACTAAGGACTATAGGATGTGTAGTATGCAGGGCTTTTTTTCTCAGAGAATAGGTGCAGGAACTCCCCCCTTCTGAGTCACCCCTTGTCTCTGCCTCCTGCCCACCTTGGGAGCACCATTCCTTGGTTCCACCCCCCTAACCACCTCCCAGTGCCACCCCTTTCAAAGAATACAGAACCAAGTATCATTTTGTAGTGCTAAGTAATTTTTATGAAATGTATTAATGATAACAAGAAAGGCAATAAAATAGATCCTCTGTAGCTAGCAATAGACAATCCCCTCCCTCCCTCCCCCCCCACCTCCCCCCTGCAGCAATAATAGACCCCCAACAACATAGATTCTCTCCAGCAATAATAGATACCCCAGCAACCAGCAATATGAGCCCTCCACAGCAACAATAGCTGCCCCAGCAACAATGGACCCTCCAGTGACAATAGATCCACACCAACAACAATAGACACCCAAACAGCCAGCATCAATAGACCCTCCAGCAGCCAGCAATAGACCGCTCATTCAACAGTAGATCCCTTCCAGCAATGATTGATCCCCAGCAACACAAGACCGATCTCTAGCAAAAATATATCCCCCGCCAGCAACAATAGACCTCTCCAGCAACAATAGACCCCCTGCAAAAATAGATTCCCTCCAGCAACCTAGATCCCCCCAGTAGCCAGCATCAATAGACCCTCCAGCATACCTTGTCATTATATACTGTACATTGTCATTGTACGACCAGCTGGAAGTGCCGGAACTGCACACTGTTAGTGTGCATAGAGTAGTGCACATGACCACAACTAATAAGTACTGTTTTTGTTCCACAGAAGCAGAAATGATGTGGGAAAGGAGTGGTTTGGGAGCTCATAGAGGACATTATAAAGGCAAACAAAAATGAAAAATGATTTATTAAAAATAGATTACAGGAAGGACCATTAAGCAGTGATTGTGTATGGATTATTTTTGGAGAATAAGGATATTTTTAGTGCCCAGTGCTTATCTCAAGCCATTTTGTAAAAAGTAGGATAGCGTTGGGAAGGAATATACTTTCTGATTTTTTTATCTGTTTTGTAGAGATTTCTACTCACTTCCTGTCTCAGGGATGAAGGACTAGAAGTACAAAAAAGATAAGAGGAAATATCTTTAAAAAGCAACCATAACACTTTTTTTTCTAGTAGAATGAGCAAGGGTTTAATACGGTCATGAGGTTTTAAAGCTGAACTCTGCATTCAGCAAATATCATCTAAATACAAGAGTCCTGTGTATTCTTCCTATTCTTGTTTTGCTTTGTGTATTTCTTGCAGATCTGTGCAGTATACCACTGTGACCCTTTGCCTCTGTGTAGGAGCGTCCTGTAATAAAGACCAGTCACTGCTGCTCTCTCCCCTTGTGCAGAGTAACTGGTCTTGTATCCGCCCCCTCCTGTAGATTTCTGCTGGCAGCGTGTAGTGGGTGGAGCCTACTGGGTACCTCCTACAGCCCTGCTCTCTGCACAGGCAATGTACAACACAGTGATGCTGCTAGTTTTAAAAGGTAATAGTAGGGTTTGTAAATGCATTTGATGCAGAAAGTGGGTTTATATCCTTTTTTGGCTTTTTGTAGGAACATATATATATTAAAGTGATTGAAAATTTAAAATTAAAAAAAAAATGTCATACAATGCAATGGCACAGAGAGCAGCCCCGGCCCTCTTCTAGTGTCCTCACCCGCACCCCTAGCTCCTCCCCCATGTCATGTGCTCCCAGAGCAAGCCACTTGCTATGAGGGCACGCGTGTGGGCTCCGTCCTGAGCTCTGCTGTGTGTCCATAGAACACACAGCGTGGCTCAGCCCCATCCCCAGCTATCTCCCCACAGGCTGTGACTGACAGCAGCAGAAGCCAATGGCTCCCGCTGCTGCCTCCAAGTCCAGTGAGGATAGAGAGAGCCGCAGCTATCGTGCACATCGATGGGTCAAGATCAGGCTCAGGTAAGAGGGGGGGCTGGGGGAGGGGTGGGAGCTGCGCACAGAAGTTTTTTTATCTCAATGCAGAGAATGCCTTAAGGTAAAAAAAAACCTTCTACCTTTACAATCACTTTATCATTTTGGTGCATGGAGTTCAGCTTTAATTGCTTCTGGTGTTTTCATTTCTTCACATCTGGTTTGTCCTAGCAGGACTCTTATTAGTCTGTGTTTCTGCTCCCCCAAACCTGTTTTTTTTTTTCATTAAACTGACCTTAAAGGGATGCTTTTTGATTCAGCCTGAGTTCACACTGATGTGGTGCGGATGTGGTGTGGAATTCACATCGGTTTCTGTGCGAATTCCACACTGCATCATAATCTCACCCCATTCATGCAAACTGCTACAGGTGTGTATGTTACGTTAACAGCACCCCGAAATCAGTCCGCAAAACGCGGTGCGATTTGCAGAATCGGATCACATGGGTGCAAATATGCATTAGATCTGATTCTAGTGTGGCCAAAATATAGGCTCCTGCATTTTTTTGGTGCGGATGCAGTACGATTTGAGTCATACAAAATGTATGGCTCAAATCGCACCACGCAGAATTCACATGTGATTTGCACAGGAATGCGGTGCGGTTCCTGTGCGAATCACATACGATATGCCGCACCGCAGAAATGTGAATCCAGGCTAAAGGCAAATAGGTGAAACAAGACAGGTGTGGCTAATTTGCTAGAGGTACAGATGTCTGTCCTGCCATGAAGAGTACTTTATCAGTGTGAGTGTGTATAACTCAATAACAAAAATGTGTTTTACCCAAACCTAACATATAGTCCTAAAATATTTATATTTTGCCACCCCAGACTCAAAAAGTTCCACTTTCTCCCCCGAAAGTCCAAAGTCAAGGTAACACTCTCTCTCGGCGTCTGTGATATCCTCCAATCAATAAATTTGCGCTCCTAAATCAATCCTTAACCTTAACCACTTGCCTACCAGGCACTTATACCCCCTTATTTTCCAGGCCAATTTTCAGCTTTCAGCGCTGCCGCATTTTGATTGACAATTGCGCGTTCATGCAACATTGTACCCATATGAAATTTTGATCATTTTTTTCTCACAAATAGAGCTTTCTTTTGGTGGTATTTAATCGCCACTGGGCGCTTTACTTTTTGCGCTATAAATTAAAAAAGTGCAAAAAATTTGAAAAAAAAAAAAAAAAGTTTCTTTGTTTCTATTATAAAATTTTTCAAACAGGTATTTTTTCTCCTTCACTGATGTGCGTTGATGAGGCAGCACTGATGGGCACTGATAGGCGGCACTGATGGGCACTGATAGGCAGCACTAAAGGGCACTGATAGGCAGTACTAATGAGGTGGCACGGATAGGCGGCACTGATAGACAGCACTAATGAGGTGTCACGGATAGGCGGCACTAATATGCAGCACTGATAGGCGGCACTGATAGGTGACACTGATGATGGGTACTGATAGACGGCACTGACTGGCATCACTGCTGGGCACTGACTGGCGGCACTGACTGGCACAACCCCTGGGCACTGACTGGTGGCACTGACTGGCAGCACTGCTGGGCTGCACTGGTGGGTGGCACTGGTGGGTGGGCACAGGTGGGTGACACTGGTGGGCACAGGTGGGTGGCACTGCTGGGCACAGGTAGGTGGCACTTCTGGGCACAGGTGTGTGACACTGCAGAGTGGCACAGGTGGGTGCACTGCTGGGCACAGGTGGGTGCACTGCTGGGCACAGGTGGGTGATCTGCTGGGCACAGGTGGGCGGAGCTAGTGGGCGCACTGCTGGGCACAGGTGGGCGGAACTTGCGGGTGGCATTGCTGGGCACCGATCATCAGGGCACTGATCATCAGTGCCCTGATGATCGGTGCCGATCCCCGCTCTGACAACTGCTGGTTCTCGGCAGTACTTTCCTCACGATCTGACAGCGTGAGGAAAGTGCAGCCGAGAACCGGCACTTGCATTTCCCTGTGATCAGCGTGTCATTGGACACCGCTGATCACGTGGTAAAAGGCCGGTATGATTGGCCTTTTACCACATCACGTGATCAGTTGTGTCCGTAGGACACAGTGATCACGGAGATCGCCGGGTGCGCGCCCCCTGGGGCGCGCAGGAGAGCGCGTTCTGGGAGGGCGTCATATGACGTCCACTCAGAACTGGCCAGCCGCAGTTTAGCCGTCATTCGGCTATCTGCGGTCGGCAACTAGTTAATGAAAGCACTCTTTTTATCCATGTGTACCTCAAAAAGAGATCTCTACATAGTGCATTAACCCTATTACATAAGGCAAAAATAAACATAAACCCAGTGCTGGTAAAGTGCCAAACCACCCAGTGTCCACTTCTAAGTGGCTGCATTAAATACCCTTACCTTATTAAAACTTGTATACAATGTTATATTTCATTCCTTGGTATTCCACAAAAACTGGTGCTCCAGACCGTCCTTTTCTCCCATCAGTATTACCTCAGAAAGAACTTATAATAGTGTAATATCCTTTTAAAGTATCAAAAGGTGCTCCCCTTCTCCACAACACTAGTGTAATGTGAATCCACTCCCCACCACCTTCCAAACCATGCACCTTACCGGACTATACAATCCACAAGCATAGATATAAATGGATCCCATATCAACCGATATTATTTCCGCAATGTCCACATGGCATCATGACATGGATCAAAAACAAGATCTTAAAGTATAGTATGTCTTAAAAACGGGTCTAATTTATTAAAATTGTGCTTACAATCAAAAATGGAATAAAATCACGTTTCACTCAAATATAGGGATCATGTATCCTCAGTAAAACGACAATCAGCATATAAAACCTCTCTCAAGATAGCCGCTCCATAACTTCCAGTCTACGTCTAACGTCACGTCCTTGATGACGCGTTTCGTCACTTCCGACTTCTTCAAAAAAGAACCCTTTTTGAAGAACATGCTATACTATAAGATCTTGTTTTTGATCCATATCATGATGTCATGCGGACATTGAGTACGGAAGTAATATTGGACGAGGGAAGCCATTTATATCTATGCTTGTGGATTGTATAGTCCGGTAAGGTGCATGGTTTGGAAGGTGGTGGGGAGTGGATTCACATTACACTAGTGTTGTGGAGAAGGGGAGCACCTTTTGATATTTAAAAGGATATTACACTATTATACGTTCTTTCGGAGGTAATACTGATGGGAGAAAAGGACAGTCTGGAGCACCAGTTTTTGTGGAATACAATGGAATGAGATTTAAATTCATATACATGTTTTAATAAGGTAAGGGTATTTAATACAGCCACTTAGAAGTGGACAATGGGTGGTTTGGCACTTTACCAGCACTGGGTTTATGTTTATTTCTGCCTTATGTAATAGGGTTAATGCACTATGTAGAGTTTTCTTTTTGAGGTACACATGGATAAAAAGAGTGCTTTCATGAAAGTGGATTGATTTAGGAGCACAAATTTATTGATTTGAGGATATCACAGACGCCGAGAGTGTGTATAACTGCCATAAGGGTGCACTTTAGAGATTGTTCACACTATGTGCAGTGACCTTCGATTTTCTGCTGTCAATAAACGCAGGTCATTGCTAGGGTGCATAGAAAATAAATTATTTTTTTATGCCCCATTCATGCTGCAATGCTGATGTGATGTGCTGTGCAGTGCAGAAAAATGCATCATATTCAATTGAGGGCTGACCTGCAGACAATACAAGTCAAATGAAGCTTTTTCTTGTCAGTCGCTGAGTTTTCAATTGGAACAAGGCTGCATGTGTTTTAATTAAAAAAACAATGTTTGACAAGAATGATCATTGACATGAGCCCTTATACTGATGTAATTTAAAAGCAGTAATCTAATCTATACAATGCTATACATTTATCAGTATACCCCCAATACTTTAGGGCAGCAATAGGGGCACCACCAGCCTGGCATTTGCATGTTTTCCCTGTGTGGGTTTCATTTGGGTACTCCGGTTTCCTCCCACACTCCAAAGACATGCTGGTGGTAGGCATAAAGGGGGGGATCCTGTCTAAATTACACTTAAATAGTTACACAAACCAATGTTAAGGTGCTATTAAGTGCAAAACGGTGACTAAAATGAGTATAGTCCATAACGTGTTCAAAAGGTGTGTTCAAAACCCAAGAGTCTTCCTCCAATGCCTGGATTCGTGGATGAGGTGATAAAGGTATAAAGATTGCGCACTCACCAGATACGCAATCCAAATGCGCATTCAAAGCAGATAATCCTAGGGTCCTCCTAGGGTCCTCAATGCGTAACATTGGTTTGTGTAACTATTTAAGTGTATATTTATTAAGTTAGCTGCACCTCCCCCCTTTATGCATTCTGATTATTGTGAGGTTTTATGGTACCTTTTTGGTGTTCAGCTGATATTTTCTAGTTTAATTTAATTTTGTTCACTTATTGATTTTATAAGTTGTTTTAAGCGCTCACTTGTCTTGAGATATGCTGGTAGGTTAATTGGATCCTGTCTAAATTGGCCCTAGTATGTGAATGTAAGGTAGGGACTTTAGATTGTACGCCCCTTGAGGGTTAGAGACTGATCTGAATGTACAATATATATGTAAGCGCTGCATAAATTGACTGTGCTATATGAGTACTTGTAATAATAATACTTTGAGTGCATTTTTTGATGTTCATGCAGATGCTGCCAAACCCATGATAACTGCTACTCACAAGCTATGGCCATGTCAAGCTGTAGTGGTCTTTCGAATAATCCATATACAAAAAGCTACGATTACTCGTGCTCAGGAACATCTATCACTTGTACATGTAAGTATGTCAGCTTGCTTATGGATAAATGAATTGTCTACAGGTATAGACATTTTAATATCTGCTCTGCTGGGCTTCCAACTAAAGAGTTCTCAGATTCTCAAAAAGTTTTTCCAAAATTAGAACAAGACTGAAAATGCTTTTATCAATTATCTTGTTATTAGAGATTTTTCCAGCATATCTTCTTTCATGCTTAATTGGTTCACGAATCATATTGCTGAGAATGTAGCAGAGGTTGTAAGATATTACTTTGCAGGAACTATATAAACAAATGAAAATTTAAATGATTGATTTGGCTGGTCTCATCCTAATACAATGTAGAACATTTTTATTTCAGACATAGATCTCAAAAGGGCTGGCATGAGAGAAACATTTCACCTTTCATTAATAGACAAATGGTGGAGATCCTGAATCTCAAGAACTTTGAGTATTTTTTAGTGCTGCCTTATGTGGTTTACCAAGCAAAGCCTATGTAAGGACAAAATCTAAAAAAAAAAGTATACAGTACATCTTCGCAATACACACACATTTCCTCAATTTTTATTGGTTTAAGTTATTGCTTTTTTATGCTGCAAATATAGAAAAGAATTCAATGATCATCCACAAGTGCACTCAGTTACAAATTTCCTACTGTGGACTGTTGCCACACACATTTTTGTGGACTAAAATTACAAAAATTGGTTCCAGCCCTGCCTCGTATATTTTGAACAGCTACTGAATCCCTCTCACTCGCCTTTTCTCCATAGCATAGTGACTAAAGCACTCGGAGGATTCCGTGAAATAACACAGAAGGTGACCACAAGACACACAACAACTTTTAATATCTTACACAATCAATAGTACTTTTTCACTTATCATATAGATATTACAAATCGCATTTATTGCTATATTTACCAGACCAAAGGGAAGCAAATATAAGAAATTAATTGTTGGTTTTTATATACTCTTTAAGCTATTTTGACTATTCAGCTATGGCCATATTAATTTACCATTGACTTAATTATAGTGTATGGTACAGAAGTGAACAAAGCAACATTTTTTGGTGGCATTATCTTTCAAGAGTTAAATAAAAGGCAGTCAAAATCAAAATTAAGTAAAGCAGCTAGTGGTCCTATAATATATAATGTACTATCTGTAATCTGCAATTTTGTCCCATTGTACATGACACTAAGATGATGTTTTTTGGTACAAAAAATAATGAATCAATTTACATATGAAATTAACAATTTTTTTTTCATGTCTATGGTTAACACTTAAAATACAAAAAACAAAAGCGATTAGCAAGAATATTTGAGCAGGGAAAGCAAGGTGTCAGTCAGAAACATTTCTCAATACCAATGAGTAAATCACCACGGGGTCACTTGTAGTAGAAGATCCTGTATTCTTACCTTTCTAGCTCTCCATATCTTCCAGTCTGGGCCAATTCTGGCATTCCTCTCCTACATGTAAAAAAACATCTTTTTTTTTGCTAGAAAACAACTTAGAACCCCCAAACATTATATATATATTTTAGCAGAGGCCCTAGGGAACAAAATGGTGGGCATTGCTTATTTTTATGTCACACGATATTTGTGCAGCGGTTATTCGTGGAACAATGCCAAATTCCAGTACCTAAACATTTCCATACGAAACCCTTTATAAGCCTTTACAAGTTACTAGTTTGGAGTTACACAAGAGGTCTGGTGCTAAAATTATTGCTCTCGCTCCAACGTTTGTCACCATAACTCATGTGTGGTGCGATTGTTGTTTACATATGCGTGCGGGTCCTACGTGCACGATTGCTTTTGCGCATGGGGAAATGGGCGCTTTACATTTTTTAAAATTATTATTAAATTATTATTTATTTAAATTTTTTTATTTTGACACTGTCACTTTTTTTTTTTTATCAACTGTTTTGCTATTACAAGGAAAGAACAACATTCCTTGTAATAACATGGGCGTTGACAAGTCCTCTTTATGGAGAGATCTTGGGTCTATTAGACCCCAAATCTCTACTCTGCCTCCGGTAATGGCCAGGTGAACAAACCAAAACAGGAAGTGATCAAAACCTTGTCCCTTCCTGTTTCTGACATCACACAGTGGGAGGAACAACACCTGTTCTCTCACTCCGTTTGTGGCCATAACTCATGAATGGTGCGATTGTTATTTACATATGCGTGTGGGTCCTACGTGCATGATTGCATTTGTGCATGGGAACAGGGAACGGCCGCTTTACATTTTTTTAAATTATTATTTATTTTAATTAAATTTTTTTTTAACACTGTAATTTTTTACAACAACATCCCTTGGGAAAACAACATCCCTTGTAATAACATGGGCGTTGACAGGTCCTCTTTATGAAGAGATCTGGGGTCTATTAGACCCCAAATCTCTACTCTGCCTCCAGTAATGGCCAGGTAAACAAACCAAAACAGGAAGTGATTAAATCCTCGTCCCTTCCTGTTTCTGACGCAGGGGCAGACTGACAACTCATGGGGCCCCCGGGCAATAGGGGATCATGGAGCCCCTTTGTCCTTGCCCAAACTAAAAAAAGCTTATGAAAAAGGTACCAGGGGCATCTCATGGGGCCCCTACTGACCCCTCAGGCAGTGGCCGAGTTTCCAAATGGTCAGTCCACCCCTGTACTGACGTCACACAGTGGGAAGAACAACATCTGTTCCTCTCACTGTGTGCCTAGAGCTGGATGCCACCAGTCGCATCCTTGCCGGGCTCTCCGATCAGGTGGGAGGGCGGTGGCACCCCCTTCCACTGCTGGTAAAATTAATCCAGCAGCTTGTTAGTCACTTAGATTACTTTTACTTAGTGCAGAATTGCTGGGGCTACAAAATGATACCTTGATCATTGCTGCAGCTTTACCCTTCCTGTCCGAGGACATTTATAAACGTACGTCGAATGGGAAGTGGTTAAATGTCATATTCCCCAGCCACTGCAGGTATTCCTCACTTCCAGGTGTGAGAGGACCTCACTGCACCCTGTATTTCCTGTCCTTGGCTCATATGTCAGTACAGTATGTACAAGTCAATAAGAAAAACAACACTGTGTAGCTAGGGAAGCAGGCATTCCACACAACTAGAAGTGTGGGGCACCTGTAATGACCGGGGAACAGCACCGTTCTATACCTCTGCACCTATGTTAGAGTCCAATAGGCTGTCAGAGAAACATTGTCATCTCAAACTTCCAGCTCTAAATTGTCTATTTTTTATATATATATTATTATATGTTTGTTGAAGTGTGATTGTCTCTTCACAGCTTATAGTGATACCTGCGCTCAGTATATCTGCAATTGTGACAGGACAGCTGCCAATTGCTTCGCCAAAGCTCCATACAACTCAGCCTACAAGGATCTGGACAAAAGCAAAAATTGTTAATATCTGACAGTCATATACACTGACGTAAAAACTAATAAACATCTACTAATAATAACAAAAATTCTATAGCTCTTACTATGTGTTTTGTGGAAATTATTTTCTGGATTTTGTGTATTGATTCTTGTTCCCCTTCCATACTAGTGGTATGTCACTAATTGTAGGCCTAACATTGAGGAAGTCAAGGCCTTAGTAGCATTGGAAAGCAGTCTCAGACAGAGGAATGAGTAAACTTTTCAGGACAGGAGATAGCAGGCAGCACTTTTATTGTCAGAAAGGAGGACAGGTTCACTTTAATACAATAGCAGGAAATAAGAAAGAGCAAGAGATACCGTATTTTTCGCTCCATAAGATGCACCTGATCATAAGACGCACCTAGATTTTAGAGGAGGAAAACAAGAACAAAAAATTCTGAACCAATGGTCTGCAGACATAGTACAGGAAATGACCAGACACTGCGGACACAGTACAGGAAATGACCAGAGACTACGGACATAGTACAGGAGATGACCAGAGACTGCGGACATAGTACAGGAGATGACCAGAGACTGCGGACACAGTACAGGAGATGACCAGAGACTGCGGACACAGTACAGGAGATGACCAGAGACTGCGGACACAGTACAGGAGATGACCAGAGACTGCGGACACAGTACAGGAGATGACCAGAGACTGCGGACACAGTACAGGAGATGACCAGAGACTACGGACATAGTACAGGAGATGACCAGAGACTGCGGACATAATACAGGAGATGACCAGAGACTGCAGGCATAGTACAGGAGATGACCAGAGACTGCGGACATAGTACAGGAGATGACCAGAGACTGCGGACATAGTACAGGAGATGACCAGAGACTGCGGACACAGTGCAGGGGATGACCAGAGACTGCGGACACAGTACAGGAGATGACCAGAGACTACGGACATAGTACAGGAGATGACCAGAGACTGCGGACATAGTACAGGAGATGACCAGAGACTGCGGACACAGTACAGGAAATGACCAGAGACTGCGGACACAGTACAGGAGATGACCAGAGACTGCGGACACAGTACAGGAGATGACCAGAGACTGCAGACACAGTACAGGAGATGACCAGAGACTACGGACATAGTACAGTAGATGACCAGAGACTGCGGACATAATACAGGAGATGACCAGAGACTGCAGGCATAGTACAGGAGATGACCAGAGACTGCAGACATACTACAGGAGATGACCAGAGACTGCGAACACAGTACAGGAGATTACCAGAGAATGCGGACACAGTACAGGAGATGACCAGAGACTGCGGACACAGTACAGGGGATGACCAGAGACTGCGGACACAGTACAGGAGATGACCAGAGACTTTGAACATAGTACAGGAGATTACCAGAGAGTGAAGGCCTTTGGGGAGGGGGGGGCGGGTACCCACATTTGACAAATACCCGCTCCCACTTCCGCAGAGTTGTCCTGCCCCCTCCCTCTTCGTAGTCTTGTGGGACACGTGACAGGTCCCACAAGGCTACGGGGCCATTCAGGAAGCGCAGTGCTACTCGTGCATGCGCAGTGGTCACCCGGCTGTGAAGCCACAAGCTGTCACAGCCAGGTCCCCACACTGAAGATGCCAGCGCCAGGGAGAGAAGACAACCGATGGAAGTAGGACGGGTGAGAGGATTCTTCTGCACAGAAGAGCCCAGTGGCTGGCCCGGTATTCTAACACGGCGGCGGCGGGAATACCAGGCCGGCCGCTCCATATTCGCTCCATAAGACGCACAGACATTTTCCCCCATTTTTTTGGGGGGGAAAAAGTGCATCTTATGGGGCGAAGAATATGGTACTTGTCTGCCAAAGATGAGGGCTTACCAGCACTGTGTATACACGTTCAGACAACAATGTCTTGGAATTGCTTCTTAGAAAAAGACAATTTCATTCTTAGTGTAAAAGCATGACATGGATGGGGAATCTATACCTCCACATACTTGGACCATATGAGCCAGCAGACAAAGGAAAGTGGTAGCTTTCCACATCCTTAATAGATATACACTCACCAGCTACTTCATTAGGTCCACCTGTTCAATTATTTGGTGACACAAATTGCTAATCAGCCAATCACATGGCAGCAACTCAATGCATTTAGGCATCTAGAAGTGGTGAAGATGACTTGCTGAAGTTCAAACCAAGCAACAGAATGGGGAAGAAAGGGGATTTAAGTGACTTTGAATGTGACATGGCTATTGCTGCCAGACGGGGGAGTAATGTAATAGGGGGTGGGGTGCTCTGGACATCTAGTCTTACAGATACAACCCTTTGGGGGCAACTATAATGCTAATGCAGCCCACAATGAAATTGAGTTTGACACCCCTGCAGTACAGTAAGTGAGTGTTGTCATCCTAGAACAGGAAGTGTGTTACTGGCAAGATCACTAGATGAAAATGAAGAAAAAAAAGCAATGCAGACTAAAAAAATCAACTACCATCAGGTCAATGTATAGAAGCAAGTAATATGATGCAAACCCAACATCAGCCTCAGAGAAAAAATCAGATGTGGAATTTTCAGTGTTATTTTAGATCAGTTGTCTGTTGCCTTACAAGAGCACAGGGTAGCATACCAATCAGTGTATGAGAGGTTCAATGCAGGGCTTTTTTTCAGCAGGAACACAGAGGAACGCAGTTCTGGCACCTCCAGCACTGAATGTATGTAATAGTATGGGGAGCTGGGGTGTGATGGAGGGTCTATTAATGCTGGCTGCTGGGGGATCTATTGTTGCATAGTGGTCTATTGTTGCTGGGGAGGTCTATTGTTGTTGGTGGGGATCTATTGTTGCTAGGGGTCAATTGTTACTGGAACAGATCTACTGTTGAGGGAGGGGTCTATTGCTTCTGGCTACTGGAGAGTCTGTTGATGCTGGGAAATCTGTTGTTGCTGGGGGGGGGGGGGGGGGGGGGGGTATTTCGTTGTGGGGTTCCATTGTTGCTGGGGGGTCTATTGTTGCTGGAGGAGGGTCTGTTACTGCTGGCTGCAAGGGATCTATTTTACTGTTTTTCTTGTTGCCATGAACAAATTCCATACAAATTAGTTAGCACCACAAAACGATACTTTGCTCCGAATTCTCTAAAAGGCGTGGTACTGAGAGTTGGGTAGGGGGTGGAACTAAGGGATGGTGCTCGGAGGTGGGTAGGGGGAGGAGACAAGAAGTGACCCAGAAAGGGGGAGTTCCTGCACCTATTTTCTGAGAAAAAAAACCCTGGTTTAAAGTAATAGTCGACTTACACTTACCGGCCTCTTTCATAGGTACACCTGTTCAATTGTTTGGTAACACAAATTGCTAATCAGTCAATCACATGGCAGCAACTCAATGCTTTTAGGAATCTAAATGTGGTGAAGACAATTTGCTGAAGTTCAAACTGACCATCATAATGGGGAAGAAAGGGGATTTAAGTGACTTTGAATGTGGCATGGTTGTTGGTGTCAGACAGGCTAGTCTGAGTAGATCAAAAACTTCTGATCTACTGGAATTTTCACTCACAACCATCTCTAGGGTTTACAGAGAATGGTCTGAAAAAGAGAAAATGTACAGTGAGTGGCAGTTGTGTGGATGAAAATGCCTTGTTGATGTCAGAGGTCAGAGGAGAATGGGCAGACTGGTTCAAGATGATAGAAAGGCAACAGTAACTCATGTCAATATGGACTAAAATCTCTGAGGAATGTTTCCAACACCTTGTTGAGTCTATGCCATGAAGAATTAAGGAAGTTCCGGAGGCAAGAGGGGTTCCAACCTGGTACTAGCAAGGTGTGCCTAATAAAGTGGCCGGTGAGTGTATAGTGTAGGTCAGTGTTTTTCAACCTTTTTTGTGCAAAGGCACACTTTTTTCATGAAAAAAAATCACGAGGCACACCACCATTAGAAAATGTTAAAAAAATTTACCTCTGTGCCTATATTGACTATATATAAAAGTAATTCTCTTGAAGGAATCAAACACAAAGAAATTATTTTATAATTACTTTATTATGAAATAATAAAGTATTTTATAATTGGACCCGGGGGCCGGACCAAGAGTAGATGAATGATGTGTATGTGTCATCCATAGTAAGTATAGTAATATTCCCCCATAGTAAGCATAGTAATTAATCCCCCATATAGTAATTCATCCCCCATAGTAATTAATCCCCCATATCACTAGTAATTCATCCCCCATAGTAATTCATCCTCCATATAGTAATTCATCCCCCATAGTAATTCATCCCCCATAGTAATTAATCCCCCATATAGTAATTCATCCCCCATAGTAATTCATCCCCCATAGTAATTAATCCCCCATATAGTAATTCATCCCCCATAGTAATTAATCCCCCATATAGTAATTCATCCCCCTATATAGTAATTCATCCCCCATAGTAATTCATCCCCCATATAGTAATTCATCCCCCATAGTGTAATTCATCCCCCATAGTGTAATTCATCCCCCATAGTAATTCATCCCCCATAGTAATTCATCCCCCATATAGTATTTCATCCCCCCATATAGTAATTCATCCCCATATATAGTATTTCATCCCCCCATATAGTATTTCATCCCCCCATATAGTATTTCATCCCCCATATAATTCATTCATCCCTCATATAGTATTTCATCCCCCCATATAGTATTTCATCCCCCCATATAGTATTTCATCAGTATTTCATCCCCCCATATAGTATTTCATCCCTCATATAGTAATTCATCCCTCATATAGTATTTCATCCCTCATATAGTATTTCATCCCTCATATAGTATTTCATCCCCCATATAGTATTTCATCCCCCCATATAGTATTTCATCCCCTCATATAGTATTTCATCCCTCATATAGTATTTCATCCCCCCATATAGTATTTCATCCCTCATACAGTAATTCATCCCTCATATAGTAATTCATCCCCCATATAGTATTTCATCCCTCATATAGTATTTCATCCCCCCATATAGTATTTCATCCCTCATATAGTAATTCATCCCCCCATATATAGTATTCAATCCATCCCCCCATATAGTATTTCATCCCCCCATATAGTATTTCATCCCTCATATAGTAATTCATCCCTGATATAGTAATTCATCCCCCATATAGTATTTCATCCCCCCATATAGTATTTCATCCCTCATAAAGTAATTCATCCCTCATATAGTATTTCATCCCCCACAGTACTATTCCCCCCCCCCCCTTCTAGTAAGCCAAGTCCCCCGTGTCAATTCACTTACCTTTTGCGTTCCTCTCGCTGTCTTCCCGCGCCGTTCGGGTCTTCAGGGCGGACTGTGAGAGGAGCCTAGCTCCCCTCCCCTCACGTTCGGCACGCTGCCCCGCCTACACACATCCTGACAGCCACATCCGCAAGCCGGATTAAAAGGTCCGCGCGGACTTTTGGGGCTGCCAACCGAGAGGAGGCAGGGGAGCGGCCGACCGAGAGGAGGGAGGGGAGCAGGCGCCCGGCACACAGAAGAGCCGCATTAGACTGGGTAAAGAGCCGCATGTGGCTCGCGAGCCGCGGCTTGCCGACCACTGAATCATTAGATTCTAATGATTGGTCTATTTGTGAGCCGAAGCCACATGTTACAGATGAAATTGGAATTTTTCCCACGGCACACCAGACAATATCTCACGGCACACTAGTGTGCCGCGGCACAGTGGTTGAAAAACGCTGGTGTAGGTTATGGGACCAAGCAGTAGCATGAGTCTGAGTCTGGTAAGTTTATAGTTCTGAAGGTTTTTGATCACATATTTGCCCAGAAAATGTATTAAAGTCCAAAATCTTGCAAACGAATTCTCATGCCATGTACATCTGCATGTCTGAAGACACCTCGGGAGAACTGTGGCAACAGTTGGCTGTGGAACTGCAATCACAATACCCCCTAACATTGTATTCACAGGTTTACTCACATTCTGCCTTTCCCATCTGCACATACTCAGCATTTATTTTGTTCCTCGTTGCCTTGTTCAGGTTCTGGGGGATATGAGAAGAAACCCTATGTACACTCACAACCTGAGGCTTACATAGGGCCCGGCTAAGGACATATGGCTGGAATTTACTAAACCAGCAGTAGACAGAATCAGGAGCAGCTATCATCAACTTGTTCAGTTAAAGTGTTACTAAACCCCGGACCCTGCATTCACTATATCTGGTCTCCCACAGTACACAGAACATGGAAATGCAATTATTTTAGTAAACATAAACTGCTAAATACCTTTTCTCATGAGCAGTATATAACTGTCTTGTGGCTTCTATCAGTGTCCAGCTGAGCACTGGTTAAAGCTTGTAGGAGGAGTTTTCATTCTGTTCTGACTGTCCTATGAGGCTGCATAATCCCTGACTCTCTGTCTGGACAGTGCTGACTGGTCCTGCACTGATCATATGCACCCTCCCAAAGAATAAAAACTCTCTAGCAATACACACTAAACTGAGCATGTGCAGAGTGACTCCTAAGGCTCTGTACTATCAGCAGATGGATTGGGGACAGTAGAAGAAGGGGAGGATCAGAGAAGACAGGATCAAGCAAACTTTTTACACAGTGCAGAGGATTAACTCCTTAGATTTCACAGGGAGTATAACAAGCATGCTTTACTGCATATACAGACTGATTTTACTGTTGTGGGTTTAGTAGCACTTTAATGAAAATGAAAGTTTATTGGTTGCCATGCACAGCTGCTCCAGATACTGTGTGTTCCAGTCTAAGGCTGGCCATACATTATACAATTTTCTTGAGAATTTTGCTTTAGATTTACCAAAAACCATATAATATGAAGTCAAACCTAATCCACACTTTACATTGTATCCAATTAGGCAGGCTCTTGCACTACATAGTTGAAGGTAAATCTAAAGGAAATTGGGCAGAAATTGGACAGAAAATTGTATAGTGTATGGCCAGCCTAAGTGAACTCCCCTCTTTCTCACCACACCC